TTAATGGTTTCAAACATGAAATGTGCAGCACAGTGGAGACAGAAGTGATCCTGACAGTAATTATTACTGCTGTAATATACACCATAGAGATCAGTTCAACAACAATCTATACACATAGACATTAAATGTTGCTGTTTCTATCAGAAAGAGGTTTTCTGACACTTTAGATGATCAAAAAAGAGTTTTTTGTTTGCAGATGTTTTCCTCCTCTTTCACACACCAACATCCTGTGGGTCAGTCTCAGTGTGCGAGAAGAGTAGCAGAGGTAAAGAGGTTTAGGGCTATCAGGGAGAAGCAGGCCACATGCACATATTATGTATATATGTATGAGAGGAATGTAACGTCCATGTTTGATGCTGAAAGAGGATGTGCTGGTCTGACCCCCGTCCTCCTTTCAGGGTGGAGCCTGCTGGAGTCCAATGGTTGAGACCAGGTCTGAGGAAGTGTAAGTGTGTTTTTCATTTGATTCATGAAAACATTCAACCATCTTCAGACTGTGACATCACTCATTCAAAGTGTCCATCAACAAACAGATGATAGATCAATAACTGCAGCTGGATTGTGTCTCGTTCTCTCATCAGATTCCTGTGAACTCACAATCGACACAAACACAGTAAACAGAAAGATCAAACTGTCTGACAACAACAGGAAGGCGACACATGTGAAGGAGGATCAGCCGTATCCTGATCATCCAGACAGGTTTGACTCCTGTCCTCAGCTGCTGTGTAGAGATGGTCTGACTGGTCGCTGTTACTGGGAGGTCGAGTGGACAGGAAGAGTTGAAATATCAGTGAGTTACAGAGGAATCAGCAGGAGAGGAGACAGAGAAGACTGTATATTTGGATTGAATGCTCAGTCTTGGAATCTGGTCTGCTCTGATGATGGTTACTCTGTCTGGCACAATAAGAGTGCAATTTCCCCTTCCTCCTCTTCCTCCTCCTCTTCCTCCTCTGTCTCTAACAGAGTAGGAGTCTATGTGGACTGTCCTGCTGGCTCTCTGTCCTTCTACAGAGTCTCCTCTGACACACTGATCCACCTCCACACCTTCAACACCACATTCACTGAACCTCTTTATCCTGGCTTTGCGTTCAGGGTCTCTTTATGTTCCTCAGTGTCTCTGTGTTCTTTGTAGGAGGGAGAGTCTCCTCCTGTTAAGCCTAGTATACACTGTACGATTTTAGAAACTTTGTACACTGCACTTAAGATTGCTTGAAAGCTCGAGGCAGGAAGAGGTGTCTTTGCTAGCCATAATGCTAACAAGTCAGAAATGTGTTGCCTTGATCATCTGTGCCATCCTGTGTGACATAACTTCTAAAAAAAGAGTGGTCTGGTGTATATGACAGCCAACCGGGAGCAGATGATTCTCAGTGCCCCCTGTACACTGCACAGCAAAAAACGTCCAATGAAGCTGAAATTCAGGGGAAAAATTTTCCAAAGTTAGGTCATAAACAGTCTCAAATTGTAGAATGTATGCCCAGAGAAATATTCTCACTGCTGAACAGATCAGTTAAGTCTGTACAGAATCCCAGCTCTACAGAGCCCTTAAGGAAGCAGTGGCCGGATGTTTTTGGAGATACTACCTTGTTCTCACATTTTGAATAAATTGTGGCCATGAGATACTACTCATTCTGGACAGCACCGTGTATTTACAAACCTCCAAACCAGCCAGTATATATTATATACAGTATATAGTTTCATTTTATTAGTTTTTTATTTATATTTTATATTACCGTATTTGAATACACACTACATTTAATTATATGTTAAGTTCTATGTGTAGCAAGGGCAGACTAGGGGGAAAAAACAAGAAATTTGTCACAAGCGCTGGGTCTTTATAGTAGTGATGGCAAGTTCGACTCTTTCTCGTTCATTAAAATGAACTAATCTTTTTTTGTGTCATTTCATTCATTTTGTTGAACTAGGCTGGTTATTGTGGCGCAGAAGCCTTCTAGTAGCCCATTTAAAGGGAGCACCGTTCTCAAACACGGAAGGCTGCCTGGCTTGCTTTAATTGACAAAGTTTAATGCACAAATTTGCCTCTTGATAACTCTCAATCATTATTATATACACCCCTTGGGCCCACAACCAAATTCAAACCATGTGAAAACTACAGAAATATGTTGTCTATATGCATTCACCACTACTCCGGCTAAATCCTTCCATTCTGCAACAGCCTTTTCACCTGTTTAACCCAAAAATCTATTGATCCAGACTGTCCAGAACTCAGCTGCCAGGCTTTTAACCAGAACAAAGAAATATGACCACATTACTCCTGTTTTAGCTTCATTACACTGGCTCCCAGTGTGTTTTAGAATTGACTTTAAAATTCTATTGATCACTTTTAAAGCTCTTCATGGCCTCTCGCCTTGTTATATTTCTGACCTTTTAGTCCCATACACACCAGCACGTACCTTGAGATCCTCGGGCAGAGGTCTGTTGTCTGTTCCAGAGTCTCGACTGAAAACTAAAGGGGACAGAGCGTTTGCTGTCAGGGCCCCGAGGCTCTGGAACAGCCTGCCCGAGGAAATCAGGTCGGCTGAGTCAGTGAACTCTTTTAAGTCCCTTCTTAAAACATACTTTTATAGGAGAGCTTTTCCCGATCTTATTTGACTTTATTTTATCCCTTTTATTGTATTTTACTAATTTTATATTTATCTTAAACATGTATTTTAGTCTTTTAAATGTTTTCATGCTTTTATCTTGTATTGTTTTTGGATTATTGTCTCTTGGGTATTATTGTCTTTACACTTGTTAAAGCACTTTGTAACTTGTTTTTGAAAAGTGCTCTACAAATAAAGATTATTATTATTATTTTCACAATCTTTCTGGAGTATACAATTATGTATGTATGATTATGTATATAATTACTATCTTTATCTCAAGTGCTCATTCATACAGCAGCCTAACGTCCCTATCCATGAGTAAAATATTAATATCAGATTTGCATATATAGAAGTAATAAGCTTGATACACTATATGAATAAACACACTCTTATTAAAATTCAACCAATTTAATAATAATCTGGATCAAGCCACCAAGTTCTTAAAAGAACTCCAGCACAGAGAGGAACAGAGAAATATTAACACATTTGGCAGGTCTGGACGCAGAATGGGCGAAATCGTGAACTTATCAGTTCTGTTTCCTGTGCTGCCTGCTTACCACTGCCCTGTAGCGAGCTGTCACATGACAAATGAACGACTCAAACAGACCCACAATTTAGAGTCGTGAACTAATCAATTCTGTTTCCTGTGCTGACTGAGCCCATGCAGCTGACGTATGACGAGTGAACGCATCTTTCACGTATGCGTGAAAATGAACGAATTACTCACTGAGACAACCCGAGTTTGGAGACAACACAACTTTAGAGACTAGAGAATTTTAGACAAGTATAATACATAACGCAATGAGCCGTTAAAATACATTTTCAAAACTAGAAACAAGTAAAAGATAATGTTACAGACAGAAACATATGTGAATTATTCGCTCTAGTTAAAAAAAAAATTCAGTGTGAACATTAATATAATGATAAATGATATATTTAGTCATATTGGAAGAGGGATTGGGCAGTATTTATTTGCACATGATGGGGCCATTTTGAAACGAGGTAGAAACACAGAGTTTATTTTAAAACAAATGCAAAGGGTTTTAGTAACTGTGGAGGACTGGGCAGATAAATGGGGATTTAAAGTCTAAATTTATGATATTTGGCAGAGAAAGGTACCAGATTTTGGATTATGTATGTAAAGTTCCCCTTTAGAGAGAGTGAAAGTTAAAATTTTTGGGTGTCTGTTTTGACAAACGAATAACTTGGGCTGTTCTTGTTAGGAACATATTGTCAAAATGTGACAAGGTGTTAAATATAATGAGAAGTCTGGCGGGATGTGACTGGGGGGGCAGAGAAGGTTTCCATGCATTTAGTATATCAGGCAACGGTAAGACCTCTAATTGATTATGGGTGCTTTGTTTATGGTTCTGCAGCCCAGTTGGTGTTAGAAGGAAGTTAGACACTCTGCAGGTTAAGACTCTGTTGTGGAGCTCCCAGGACATCTCCAATTCCTGCTCTGCTTATTGAAATGGGTGAAATGCCCTTATGTTTAAGGCATATTAAGTTGGGAATGCAGTATTGGGTCAAATTGAGTGAGTCTATGCAAGGATCGTTGGACTCTGGCAGAAACAAATCATTTTTTGGTTTGGTTTTCGGGTGTATATAGCTCAACTGGACCTTAGGATTAGCAAGAGAATTACAAACGGAAGTTCTGTATTTACAACAGAGCTACTGGCAATTCTTTGGGCTCTGTGGTGGATTGAGGACGTGAAAATAAGAAAATCTGCTCTGATTCTGCAGCTGCCCTGAAGGCCGTGAAAGGCGGTAAAGCAAAAGCCCGTCCTATAAGTGAAATTCTAGCTGTATTATTAAGAATTACAGAGATTGGTAGTAATGTGATGTTCTGCTGGGTCCCTGGGTATCCTTGAGTATGAATGAAGTAGCAGACTGTTTAGCAAAATCAAGTTATAAGTTAGAGACAGATATAATTATATCAATGGGAAGCGTGGAACTAAAAGAAAAAATTAAACCGAGTATTGAAAGGGAATGGCAAATATTGTGGGACAATGAGACCAAGGGGAGACATTACTACTTTTTGCAATCTGAGGTTAAAAAAGTCAGGCACTGTTATGGATCCAGAAGAGATTCTGTTAAAATCTGTAGGTTAAGACTCGCTTTGTGGGTTGAATAAGTCCTTATATGTCATTGGAAAGCATCTTAGTGGGAACTCTGAAACAGTGGAACATGTTTTGCTGAAATGTAACACATATAATATAGAAAGGAGCCTTTTATTCAAGAGATTATAACATTTGGGAGTTCTGTCATTCTCAGTTAAATCTATATTGGGTCAAAATGAAAACCACCACCTGATTATCAAAGTATTATTACAGTTCTTACACAATACAGGGTTAAAAAAAAAAAACGAAGCAATAATGTTTTCATTATAGTGACTTCCTGAGGAGGGCAGTGATACAAAGAAGGAAAACTTCCGGTGGCTAACATGCTAACTTTTCCTTTCGTTACCGTGAGATGCAGCCGGAGTTCAGCAGCAGAGCCTGCATGTGAGGATAAACGTGTTTAAGTGGACTCTGTTTAAACTTTCGGGATGTTTCACCTCAGACTCATCTCCTGTTAGCCAAGAATGCTAAAGGAAGTTAGCTTGTTAGCAGGAAGTAGCCGGAGCCGGAGCTCGGCCTCACAGTCGGAGCAGCTTCCATAGAGACCAAACTGTATTTTTCACGGAGCCCAAATGTCCAAATGTCCAGATAGAGCTGTCTGAATAGACTCTGTGCTGTTCCCTTTATCTGAACATGTTTAACATCTGAATTATCTCCCGCTGTCCTACGAAGCTAATGCAGTTAGCTTAGCTTGCTAGCTGGAAAAGCTGCTGTGAATCAGTAAAAATGTCTAAAGTGGAGAACGAGGAGGAACTTTGTGGACAACGCAAACTACTGGACGCTGTTTTCAAGCCTGGAGCAGGTTTGTACTTTATTCTGTCCTCCCAAATGTTTCATCTTGCTGACAGCGCTGCGGGCTCGCTGTGAATTGACTCTGTTGTTGTTTAAAAGGAGATAATAAAACAAAGAAGTTTAGCTCCGTGGTAAAACAGTTAGATTAGATTCAACTTTATGGTCATTGCGCATGTCACTGGAACAAAGCAACGAAAGCAGATAGCAAGTGCAAGATATGAATGATATATAAATATATGTATTGAAACAAGACATTTTCTGAGCACAGCAACAACAATCAGGTGCAGGTAGACAGCAGGATAAGTCTGAAAAAAAAAAAGTCTCACACAGTGAAATTAAAAAACACTTACAGGTGTGCTAAGTAGACCCTGTGCAGGTCATGAGGCCAGCACAATCCATTTTTATCTTTCTCATATACATATATAAAATCAACATCTTATACAAAGTATTATAAACGGCAAGAATGTGGTAATTATCCAAACAGATCAAACAAACATCACAATATATATTAATTTAAAAAATGAAACATACATAAGTCGCAAGAATTACAACATTATAGGAACTCATAAGTATAAGGCAAAATGGGCTGACGCTCCTACCTCTATCGTATATCCCTAAAAGGGAGGGTAGGACATTCAGTATCTAAACTCAGAAATAGACATAATAATCAGCATTACAGGAATGGGCTCAAATCTAGTCTCTCATTCAGTCCACGAGGTTCAATTCATGAATCCAAAAAGCTTCCCTTCTCAAAAGCTGGTTAATCAAGTTACCCCCTCTTGGATTAGGACTCAATCTTTTAATGCTAAATATATATATACATGAATATCTATTGCTACAGGTAATGACTAAGGCAGTACAGTATGAATAACTAAACACTATGTACAGTAGTGCAAATGTGATTGGAAGTAACACAATATTACATTACTTATTGCATTAAAAGGAGATCACATAGAATAGCCTACATGTGTGAGAGTTCATAGCTAAAGTAGTTTTTGGGAACTGTTTTCCCCCCGTCAGAGTCATAAACTAATAAATGCTTTAAGTGCAGTTTATACTTCTGCGTCAAATCAACGGCAAAAGCTACGAGGCTACGCAGAGGCTACGGCGTCGCCTGAGGGGCATCTCCTCAAAAATGTAACTACACGTCGAGTCGACGCGAACCGTAAGCTCTGTGAGTAGTGGGGTGGTGATGGCGCAGTGGACCGGGGTTCAATTCCCCACTGTGACCCTGAGCAAGTCACTTAACCCCTCGTTGCTCCAGAGGCGTGCGACCTCTGACATTTACATTTACTCATTTGGCAGACGCTTTTATCCAAAGCGACTTACATTTGAGGAACAACATACAAGTATGAACAGAGCATCAACTACAGATCTACAACTGACAAAACATACTAGTAAGAGCTCACAGTACATATCACATCAATGGGGTAGATACCGAGGGAAGGAAGTAAGAGTTAACAAAAAGTGCAATCAATACAAAATATTGTAGGAGATAGAAGAAGAAGAGCACAGGAAGTGCATGTTAGAGGTTAGGAGTTAGAGGTGTTATCAGAGGAAGAAGACGCCCCTGCTCTGATGGCGTGCGGTAGCTCGTTCCACCATCATGGTGTCACAGATGAGAACAGGGACTGGGATTGCTTTGTGTGAAGGGATGGCAGAGCCAGGCGGCGTTCGTTGGAGGAGCGTAGCGGCAGAGAAGGAACGTAAGTTTGTATTATGGAGTGTAGGTAGATGGTGCAGACCCAGTAGTCACTCTGTATGCAGCATTAGTGACTTGAATTTGATTCTGGAGGCCCGGGGAGCCAGTGGAGGTCACTGAGTAATGGAGGGACATGAGTCCTTTTGGGCTGATCAAAAACCAGACGCGCTGCTGCGTTCTGAAACATTTGTAAGGGTTTCACTGCACAAGCTGGAGACCTGATAGGAGGGCAGAGAGTAACCACGGCCTGTACCAGAAGCATGTATAGCAATTGGAAGTCGCTTTGGATATGTTATGAATTGGTCGGCCTTGGTCACCTCGCAGTGCTTCCGAGCCGACTGGAAGTTCCCCCGCGCTTTGAAGTAATGTTTTACCCACATTTATTTTAGCGAAGCGTTAAACCTGAAGTCACTCTGCTCGGCCGGCAAAAGTCAACACAGTGGACTGTAGCGCCATCGCCGACTGGCGTTTGGGGCTGTAAGTGCAGAATGATGGACACACCTACGCACAAGTATAAATGCATGGCTACATGCGTATCTATGCCGTAGGCTACGCATGTGGACCCTACGCAGGAGTATAAATGGGCCAAGTTTTTTTAAAACTACTTGTTGCAGTCAGAAGTAATGTCAAACAGCAACATTAGGCTATTTTGGCTCAAATGTTGAGTGTGTATGGGATCAAACAATATAATCATGCCTGATTCCATAGGCATCCAGGAATTGAGCCAAACTTAAACTAAAGATGTGGGGGGGGGGCGCCGTTTCCCAAGCGTGTCTGAGGGGAGGCCCGCAGTCTCAGACATTGAAAACCCCTGATTTACAGTTTACAGACCATATTCTGTAACCTCCAAACTTGCAATTAATTCATTCATTAATGGAGGGAAATGAGAACAATCCCAGGTTTCTTTTCAGTCACAGCTCTGTTGAGCCTTGTATTCCTTTAGCCTTCCCCAGTCGGGATTCATGCGACTGGAGTTGGTGGGTGATAGGTCCCTGTGAAGCAAATCACTTTAAAAAAAAAGACTTTTTAACTTCCCATAACCTTGTTTTTATGTCTTTAACAGAGACTTGGTTGGACATTAATACTGAAATGTGATCTGTACTGAACCCTCAGTCAGTGTTTTGCATACATGGCAACCCGCCACAATATCAGCATTGACTTCCACATGTTGATTTTCTTTAAAAATGGGTAAAATTGTATTTCTTTGCAGAGAGGTGCTCAGAACATCGATTTGCTCAGCCCCTCCTCGGCCCGCTCTCAGATGGACCAGTCTGTGAATTGCCCCTGTGAGCTGGGCTGTGGAGGTTAGCAAGCTGTGCATATAGTCAGTACTGAATGCTTGTGCACGTGGATAACGTTAATGTAAATTCTTCCACTTTGACGCTATATGTTTGCTCCCTCTATCCACGAAAACTATTCTCAATGACCAAAAAGGGCTTGTAAGGAGGAGCAAAGACAGGCCCAGAGGTATTAGCAAAACAGCGTACCTATAAACTTCCAGAAACACTAGGGAAAGCAGAACAGTGTGACCAGTATGATTAACTATCCAAATAATTTGTTTTGAATATTTCCAGGCTTCAACCAGCGCTGCTGTGGCAGCTGAAGCAGGAAGAGAGGGCCAGGAAGGGATAGCTGTAGCTAATGAAGAGGGAGATGTAGGAGAGGAGGAGGACAACAGCCAACATGTTGCAGTGGGAGAGCAGCTAGGGCAGAAGCAACAGGTGAGACTGAAGCAGGGCAGGTAAACCTCTCTCAGAAAAAGAAGCCTCATATCTTTTCTTCAACAATGTCTACAACAAAGCAACAGCCCCCTTTCATACTACTTCTGTAGTTTATTTTTCCAAAGTGCTTATAAGTTTTATAAGTGGAGAATGTTACATCATGACCCAGACGTTCCTTGATTTACTTTAAACCATTACTGATTACTAATATTTTTATTTTTTAATTTCTCTGACATTGACAGCTTTGTGTTGGACGGATTTGTGCAGCGGTGTTCATCAGAGCGAGCGATAGGATGTGCTGCGCGAACGCGCTATGGCACTGATTTGCAATCAAATACGATTTTAAATGGGCCTAGTAAAAGAAATTGATTTCAGTATGTGGCGCTAAGCGTAGAAATTGTGGCGGGTCGCCACAAATAAATGAACATATAGGAAACACTGCCTTTCCTCTGTCGCTGCTGCTCTGTTGCTGCTGCCGTGGTCTGAGTAACTGGGACCAGAGGGCTCTGTGGGTGCGACTGCCGACAGGTCTAACCTCGCGGGCGCTTGTGGAGCTTCTCACCCCCGAAAACGTTTGAGCACATTTTGATTCGCCATCAACTTTCGTGAAAACTGCCAATATTCAAATTCTACACAGTTGATTTCTCACCTTAAACCGCCCAAAAGTGTATTTAGTGATTAAATAGCATACAAAACTTAACAAAACTAAAATCAAAAGTTAGTTTCCGCTGCATGAAAGCTGCTTCTTTCTGAGTAGTCTTACAGTCAAGCAGTCATGGCAGACAGTGGAAGAGGAACTGCCCCTAGCACTTCCTGCAGTGCATTACCGTTAATAAACAACCAGAAATGTTCTTAATAAGAAGATTGCTATTTCTTCCTTAAACGGCCTCTCTGTAACAATGCGTTGACGATGAAATTTCACGTTGTCGAATACATCGACTAATCGTTGTAACCCTACTGCTAACTATGTTAACATCTCAAATCAAAATCATCTTAAACTTTACTGTGCACGAGAAATAGTGGTCACACAGTACAATAAAATTCTTATTTTGTGAATCCTCCCAGCAACATCCAACATTAATAAAACACCCTAAGACATAAATAACTGTGTGCAAAATATGTAAATGTGCTTGATGTTGCTCTATCAGATCACTTCTGTGTCATCTTTAGGGCTGAAACAATTTATTGATTAAATCAATTACTAAATTGCATCAAGGCTTCGTGTAATCCATATAACTACATAGAAAACTGAAATTTATTACTGCCGCACATCGCGCTTACGCTGTGAACACGACGTGATTATGATGC